ATAAAATGAAATGATGAGATGGAATAACTCAATTATCCATTATAAACTCATAGTAAACGATAAATGTAACAACAAAGAATATATTTTATATCATCAAATAATTTGTCAATCTTCTTTCTTCTTTAAATCTATTTTAAATATATATTATAAAATATTATGAAATATTCATATTTTATATTCTCTTTATTTTCTTAATCATTCAATTTTAATGACAATAATTTTATCAAACACTTTTCTATCAATATAATTTAAGCAGTGAAAGATGATTATTAGTGATAATAATAAATTAATAAATACAAAGTATTGATATAACTGAATTTTAAATGAACAAATCATACTAACATCATATTCAAAAAGAAAGAATAATGATTAAAGAAAATGAAGAATAATAGTAAGAATTTAAATTAATAATAAATGAATATTTTGATTTGATAGATTAGTATTATTTTCTAATGTAAGAATTAGTGTCGTGTTTAATAATTATAGAATATAAAAATAATGATATTTCTTTTATTGACTTGTCATGAAAATGTAATAATAATTTGAAAAAAAACAATAATGTTTTCATTTGATTTTTGATATTAATTGAATAATAATCTCATCTAAAACTTAGTTCATATTTATTTGTTTCTCATATTTTGTTTATTGGAGTCATTGTATTTAGTTGTTAATTGACAATTTGTTAATAAAGATTTGTTATTGTTTGCAAATTATCAACAGAATGACATTCTATTCATTTTAAAATGTGATGAATTTCTTCGTAAAAGAATAAGAAAATCTTATTGTTTGAAACTATTTTATTACTATTATTCTTTTTTATTTATTATTTAACGTTTTATTTAAACGAATATAATTTTAATCATTTATGTTTTTAATGTAATACGTTTCTATTTAGTAAAAGAGGTTGTTTGATCTCATATTAAATATTTATCTTCTTTTTAATTCATTTATTTTCATTTCTATTCAATTATTATATTATAATATCTCAATTATTTAGAGTTTATGTTATTTATTATAAATATAATATCATATTTTTTTACATATGGATATGTTTATTGCAATTGAAACAATGAATAATAAGCTTCTTTATCTCACTTAAATATGTTTTTTTCTTCATTTCTTTTTATCAAATAAATACAATATTTGTATTTCATCAAGATTATAAACAATATTATGAACAAATTTTTACAAAAATTTACTTAATTTAACATTGATACGTTTTTATCAAATAAACATTAATTGTTGTATTGTCATAAATCATTTAAAGTAATCATTTTTTGGAATATTGAAATTATTTGTTATAAATGAATGTTAATTTTGAATTTAATAGATATGTTTATATTCTTTTAAGAATCAAAAGTATGTTTCTTTTGAACTTTCAAATTCTTTGTAAAACAAATAGCTAACAACTATTAAAATAACTAATGAATATTCTTGTAATGTTGTTATCTTTCTGAATGAGTTAATAAAGAAAAGAATGGAAAAAATATTATTTTCAAAATGAATCAAAAACAAAAAGAAAAGAAAAATTGAAATATTTTGTTTTTCACAAATAATATTTTTCATTGGAAAACCCTAAAAGAATTTAAAAATGAGAATTGATGGTCAAAACTTATTTGGACTACAAAGTTGATGCTCGTGGTGGGGCTATTTCAACTGCCAATATTCTTTATTTCAATAGTAAACAAATATTGGTTGTACGTAATAAAACAGTCATATTATTAAATACAAGAACAAACACTATTGAACGTAAATACATTTGTGATGAAGAAATATCTGTAATTGCTGTAGACGATGAAAGAAATCACATTGCTGCAGGAACTGTAGATGGAAAAGTTAATATCTTTTCATGTTTAGATGGAGAATTACTCGTTACATTCAGTGGACATCGTACAGGAGTTAGAATTCTTGAGTTTAGTGAAAATGGAGAGATGGTATTATCTGTTGCAAATGAACCAGAAATTGTAGTTTGGGACATTGTTAGAGAAGAAGGTGTTTGTCGTTTTAGAGGACATCTTAATATGATTCAAGGTGCATTATTTATTCCAGGATTTGTTGTTTCTGTTGGAGATGATGGATTAGTTAAAGTGTGGGATTTAGAAATTCAACAATGTAGACAAACAATAGTTGGACATCGTGCAGCTATTAAAGCACTTATTGAATTAGAAGATAATATTTTATTAACATCAACAATTGATGGTAAATTACGTGTTTTAGAACGTGTTGATAATGAGGATGATATTTTGGAAATTAAAGGGGAAGGAGTACTTGCTATCGGAGGAGATGTAGAAGAATTTACAAAGAAAGGAAAAATTCTTGGAATGCGTGTGAATAATGGAACTTTAGGATATGCAGAAATTATAACATCAAATGAACGACTTCAATCAAAGAAAAGAAAAAAAAGACTTGAGGATGGAGAATTTTTATTAACTGATTATGTTACATTAAGACATGCTATGAAATTGAATACTACAATAAAATCTATTTGTGTTGGAGATGATGGACTAATGGTTGTAGCTATTACAAATGGATTTAAAGAGTATAGATATAAAGAATGGAATCCTGCACCTCTTCAAGATCATTATAGACCCGATGCACGATTAGTGTTAGTTTCTGATGATGATATGAAAGTTGCATGTATTGGAGATGGGAATTGTTCTATGTGGAATCCAAATGGAACTAATTTAGGAAGTATTGATTGTGGAAGAGCAAATACAGCAACATTCTTACCTGGAGGAAGGTTTATTGCCATTGGTACTGTTGGTGGTTCAATTGAAATCATTGACACAGCTGCATCTGTTGTTATTGGATCAATGACTGCTCATTCTGGAGAAATTACTGTTATTAAACCATGGAAAGGAGGAGATATGATTGGCTTAGTGAGTGGGGGAAAAGATAAACAAGTGAGACTCTGGATGGTAGATGTTCTTACTGATGAAGATGGAAAGAAATGTGTTACATTGACTAAAGAAAATGAATGGGAAATGGATGACTCAATTCTTAATTTAACTGTGTCAAAACAAGTTCTTGCTGTTGCTCTGATGGATAACACAGTAAAAGTGTATAAATTACCAACAATGCAATTTTATTTATCATTATATGGTCATAATTTACCTGTTACTGCACTAGACATTAGTGATGATAATAATATAATTATTACTGGAAGTGCTGATAAATCAATAAAAGTATGGGGGTTACAATATGGTGAATGTATTAAAACATTTAAAGGACATGAAGATTTAATTACTGGAATTGCTTGTATTCCAAGAACACATTATTTCTTTTCTGTTTCAAGAGATAAGTCATTGAGATATTGGGATGCTGATAAACAAATTCAAATCAAAACATTCAAAGAACATAACGCTGGAATTCTTTCAATAGGATGTTCTACTTTTGGTGATTATATTGTTTCATCATCAGCTGATCATTCATTTATTGTTTGGATGCGTTCAAAAGAACAAATTTTTGTTGAAGAAGAAGAAAATAAACAACTCACTCAACATTTTAATGATGAAGAATTAAAGCAATTAGATTTTGTTGATAGAAATGCTCCTGATAGATTAGATACTACTGAAGCATCAAGAAAAACAATAGAAACAATTAAAGATGCAGAAGATTTAATGGCAGTATTGGATTTAGTTACAAAAGAAGATTTTTCTATGAAAGGGTATGAAGAAGAGTTAGCACAATGGAATCTCAACCCTGTTGGAGATAAACCACAACCACCTGAACCAAATATTTTATTATGTGGATTATCTCCAAGTGACCATTTATTAAAACTAGTTGGTAAAATTTCTCCATCAAATTTACAACAAACACTATTAATGTTACCAACGAGTAATGCTATTCTTCTCTTAAGATGGGTTGTTGATTGGTTAGAAAAAGACAAACGAATATTAATGGGTGTTACAATTGCAAGTTTCTTATGTAAAGTTCATTATTCCTATTTTTCAGGATCAAAAGATGCTTCATTAATTGAAATGCTTGAAAAGCTAGCTAATTTATGCAAATCAAGAATTGAAAAATTACGTTTAACAACAGCAACTAATTTAGAACTATTAAAAGTAGTTGATTTAGAATTGAATGATAAAAATTGATTGAATTTTTAAACAAATAGATTTTTTTTTAATTCATTTATATGTTCAAGTTATTTATTAAATAATTCACTTTAAGAAACTTTGTGGTTTTTTAGGTTTTTTAGCTATATAAGCTTTCTTTAGTTGAGACTGTTCTTTTAGTTCATGTTTTTCTATTAATGGTTGTGTCTTTTTTGCTATATCAGGAATATTTGATACATAACTAAATTTCTTTTCTAATTTCTCTATAACTTTATTAGGATCAACTTTATCATATTCACTCTGTCCTGTAATTTCATATTTCTTTTGAGAAACTTCTATTAACCATTCTTTATTTGCTTCATTTAAACTTGTTGTTTGAGAAATACTTCCATTCACTTGGGCTAATGCAGCATCTCGTACATAATAGGGAATGTTATATTCAATATCTTTTAAACAACATTGACACATATTTTTAATTCGTGCACAATTCAAACAAACATATGTTTTATTAATTGAATTTGATTCTTCCATTCTCCACTTATAAACATCAAATGGTCTATCACACAATTTACATGCTTCTCCCATTCTTGCTCTTGTCATTTTAATATACTTTTCTTTGGGTAAACAATTTTCACATAAAATAGGAAACGCATCACTCATTTTTTGTTTTTAAACTTAAATTGTTTTTTTATTCTTTTTTATTTTTCTTTCTTTTTTTCTGAGACTTTTCTATTCTTCACTCTTTTTAGTTTGATTTTTGTTCATTTTATTTACTCCTTTTTTTCATTTAATTAAATTGCTGTTATTTAAACATGAAAGGTAATAATAACTAACAATGTCCATATGGACTAAATTATATGTCTTTGTAATGATGATACAAAGAACTTAATAGTAAGTACCAAACATCTTAAAATAAAAAATGAACTCAAAAATAAGTTAAAGATGTCTGTTTGTTAACACATTAATTTTGAATCAATCAAGAATATTTACCATTCAGTGTTGTGGAAAAAGTGAACAAACACAAAATGCACAAAACCCAAAGGTAATTCCTGTAATTGATTCAAATAAACCAGCTGAATCACAATATCAATATGTATTTAAATATGTTATTGTTGGAGAAGTTGCAGTAGGCAAGTCATGTCTTCTTCTTCAATTCCAAGATAAAAGATTCCAACCAATTCATGACTTGACTATTGGTGTTGAATTTGGAACAAAAACTATTCCAATTCAAGGTCAATCAGTAAAACTTCAAATATGGGATACTGCAGGATCTGAAAAGTTCAGATCTATCACTAGAAGTTATTATAGAGGAGCATCTGGTGCTTTATTAGTGTATGATATTTCAAGAAAAGAGTCATTTGAAAAAATTCCAATTTGGTTAGAAGAATGTAGAAAATACAGTAATCCAAATACCACCATTATGCTTGTTGGTAATAAATGTGATCTTCCTGATAGACAAGTTACAAAAGAAGAAGGTGAGGCATTTGCTAAAGAAAATGGACTATTATTCTTAGAAGCATCTGCACGTGATGCTACTAATGTTGACAATTGTTTCTTACAAACTGCTGAAGTTATCTTTGAAAATGTCAAGAATGGTAAAGTTACTCTTGACAATGGTGATGGGAGATAAAAAACAAATTTGAATTCTACTTCTAGTTATTTTTGTTTTTTTCTTTATAGTTTTGTTATTAGAGCTCAATTTGTTATAATGATATATTTTTAATTAATTATAGTTTAATTAAATAATTAATTTTTTTTTGTTTTTAAAAGATAATATTAAAAACCAAACTTTTTCTTTTTTAAATTAAAAAGTAAATAAACTTGAAATTATCATCATTCAATGCAACAACCAATTCCTTGGGAAAAAGTCAGTAGAACTGAACCATTACATGTTTTAATTACTGGGGCTGCTGGTCAAATTGGATATAATTTATGTTTTCTCATTGGAAGGGGATTTTTATTTGATTGTGATGTTATTCTTCATTTGTATGATCTAAATGATATGGCATTAAAAGGGCTATCAATGGAATTAACTGATTGTTGTTTGCCAAAACTAAAAGGAATCATTTCTACTACAGAGGTTGCACTTGCTTTTAGTAATGTTGATGTCGCAATTATTGTTGCAGGTGTTCCACGAAAACCTGGAATGCAACGTAGTGATTTAATTAATGTAAATAAAAAAGTAATGGAAATGAATGGAAAAGCACTTGGAACTTATTCAAATAAAGATGTTCGTGTGGTTGTTGTTGCTAATCCCGCAAATACTAATGCCTATGTTATTTGTAAAGCATCAGGTATTCCACCTGAACACATAACTGCACTAACACGTTTAGACCAAAATAGAGCAACCGCATTTGTTGCTAATGAAGTTGGGTGTCAACCTGAATTTGTCCATAATATTATTGTTTGGGGAAATCACTCTAATACAATGCAACCAGACCTTTCATATTCATATCTTGCTGACCAAAATGGTATTAAACCATTAGCTAATTGTATTGAAGATTTTGATGCTTTTACTGAAAAAGTTAGATGTCGTGGTGAAGAAGTAATCAATACAAGAAAAGCGAGTTCTGCTGGGTCTGCTGCTCATGCAATTTGTCAACATATTAAAGATTGGATTTATGGAACTAAGCCAGGAATTATGGTTAGTATGGGAGTTTCTAGTAATGGAGAATACGGAATTGATACAGGTCTTTTTTATTCAATGCCAGTGACATGTTCAGAAGGAGAATATCATATTGTTGATTCTTTAATAATAGAGCCAAGAATCAAAGACTCATTAATTCTTTCAGAACTAGAGTTAATTGATGAACGAAATATTGTTAATTGAAATAAAATATTTTTAACAAATAAAATTATTTTTTGAAATATATTTTTGTTATTAAAATATTAAATAGAATAGTTTCATTAATTAAAAATAATTTTTAATTAGAAGAAATAAGCATATCGTTGATGATATTACGGGCTTCTAACAAATCCCTTCCAGTTAAGGAACCACAATCCATAACTGGGATTTGGAAATTAAGAAGGGTAATGTTATGTTTTAGTTTCAAAGCAACAGATCTCATTCCAGAGACTCCAACATTATTTTCATCCCAATTAAGTTCGTTTAATTTAGAATTACTACGAATCATATTTGATAATGAAAATGCACCTTTATTTCCAAAATTATGTCCACTAACATCAAGTACCTCTAATTGATTTTGACTGACAAGGGTATCAAAAATTGGAACAATATTAATTCCTAATTTTTGAGACTCTTTTTTACCTCCAGCCATCCTTAAAATTTTTAATGGACATCCTGAAACTAACAAATTACAAATAGCTTTGACAACTTCTATTGATGTATCACTTTGTTTCTTTGTTGTCCTACCAAATGAACCAGAAATATTTAATTCTTCAACAACAGTATTTTGTGTTAATGCTTCACAAAGGGAAATAATTCCTTCATCTCCAATGTCTGTATATGAAACATTAATGGTTTTAATAGAAGTTAATCCAGCAAACATATGAGAGAATGATGTCATAATTTCTGTTGTAAGTGATGACTCACTTAAGTCTAATGAAACTGATTTTGCTGGAATTTCTTCAATGAATTTTCTTAATGTTGTTTTATCAATAACAGCCTTTTCTAAAGAAAGGTTAGTGATTTGGTCTAATTTGCTTCCAAGGTTATCAACACAATGTTGAATTAATTCTTGATTGAAGTTTAATCCAGTGATATCTAATTTAACAACTTTCTTTAATGCACAAACACATTTTATTAAACTTGTTTCTTTAGGTACTTCACAGTCTTTCATAATTAATTCTGTTAATGATGGTAACATTCCATTAATTAATGAAACAAGAAACTCAGTTTGTGTGTAATACATTTGAGCACCAGAAATATTTAATGAACGTAATGGAATACTTGTTTTAATTTTTCTTAAGTCATCAAGAAAAGCAGAAACAGTACTACTATGTGTTAATACATTTGCTAAATTTATTGACTCTAATCTATAACATCTTATAACAGTTCCAATGGCAGCAATTCCTTTCGAATCCATTTGATTTGATGACACATCTAACTCTAATAATGGATGTTTTGGATTATAATTATATCCTTCAAAAACATCAGCCCATTTAGAACCTAATGAAACATTAATTAAAGCAAGTGATTCAATAGTAGTGTTTGTAGCAAGAATATCTTTTAATTGGGAATAACATCTCCGAAGGTTAGTATCTTTTATTACAATTTTTTTAAAGAAATGGTTATGAGTAAGAGAGCAAAAAATGGGTTGCATATCAGTATCTAATAAACAATCTTCTTTAGTGTTATTATAGTCATCGTTATAATATTTACTAAGGTCAAGCGTTCTTTCTTCTCCTGGTGTTTGTAGTCTAATATCATTTGCAATATCAAAAACTAATCCATTATTCATTTTAACTCCAAATGATGCACAATTTGCTTTATATACTCCAAGGAATCCTCCAGATTGATTTTTATGATTTAATGGATAAGGTAAAATACGAGTAGTAACTACATATGGTGCTTTTAGAGAGAATGTTGGTTTTCTATAATATCCATGAGCAAATGCTCTCATTAAATAAATAATAAACAAATTGTTGTTATCCCCATTAATAAAGAGAGTTTGTTTAACAGCATCAATTGTAATATGTTGTTCTGCACCTTCAATAACTTGAATTGAATTAATTTGTCTATTAAATACTCTTTTAACAAATATATTTCCTTTTAAATCAATAAATGTTAAGAAATCTTCAGTAATAAAACATGCACATACAGTAGCATTTTTCTTATCAACTTTATCATAAAGAATAACATCATTTTTATCTTTTTTCTTTTCACAAATTACTGTTCCTTTCATAATAAAATAACAATCTAATTTTTGTTTGGTAATTTCTTTTCTGAATAATTTAACTTGTTCAAGATCAAATGCATTTAAATGATTACATTTTCGTTCATAACTTCCTAAATCTAACATATTTTCTAAGAATAATAGTCTTAAATGTCCTTGAAAACCATTCATTAATGTATTTGCTTTTTCTGAAAACTCTCTATGAACAGATGAAATAGCACGAGCATCCATTAATTGACTTTCTTTTAATGTTGTAATTGTTAAACTTGATGCTTTAAAATTTTTTAATGCAGCAACACGTAATCTGCTAAATGATGAATCAATAAATGGATTTAATGGTGCCATATATCCATGTCTTTTATTACTAAATTTTTTTCCTGCAAACAATGTTTTTAATACATTTGTTAGAATTGTAAAATTACGTTCAACAATATGAGAGCTTTTCTTTAATCCTTTAATATGAAACTTTTCCGGATTTTCAGTAATAGACATAAAACAATTTTGAGTGAGGAAAGTTACAGTCATAACGTCAGCTTCACCTTTAGGAAGATTAGGTAAATGTTTAATAATTAATTCTCTGTAAACATTACAAATCTGGAAGATAGTAAGTGGAAGTGATGGGAAAAAATCAGTAACTATTTTAATATATTTTTCAGTCCAACTTTGAAGAAGTTCGAAATTAGATTCAATCTCATCATCGTTTTCAACAAATAAATCATCAATCTCGAAAGATGACTTTAAATTTATAAATTCAGTAAAGAATTCTTTAACTTTATCAACAAAAACTTCTGGAATAATTGCTTCAAATAAAGATTTACATAATAAATTTGTTGGACAATTTTCTCTCATTAATTTATCAGTACCTGCATTTTCTTCAAATTCCAAATTCATTATTTTTTGAATAAAACTTATTGTTGTTTGAGTTGATGCTGTCATAGCTAAAATACCTCTACTCGTACTTGATGCAGTTTTTGAATCAAATAAAAGATTAAATGTTTGTGGACAATGGTCTAACATTAATAATACAATTCTTTTAAGATCTTCTAATTCTCTTTGTGAATAAATTAAATATTTTTCATCAACTTTTGGTGAATGACTTTTATCATTAAATTCTAATGGAAATTCTATTTGCATTGATTCCAATTTTTCTTGCATTTGAATTGAATTAGCAGTAACATTAGTTATATCTGACATCATTGATCCAGAAAATAATGATGACCCTGCTTTATCTGTTCCAATAGAACGTCCTGTTTTCTTTTCTCTAATTTCGCGATACGTTTTAAGATCAGGTGGTGGTTGCAATGGACATTGTGGAATTGTTTTAAATTGCGATCGAATAACATTATAATGATTGGGTATATATGATGCATCTGAAGTGATTTCACTTGCAGAAATTCCATTAAAGTCAACAGAGAACGAATCAGAAATTGAAATTCTTTTTGATTCAGCCATATTTCTTTGTGTTGTTTTTTAAGTTTGAGATTCTATTTTTTTTTTGTTTTTTTTTTCGGTTTTTACCCAGTTTGAGACTCTTTTTTATATGTTAGCATTTCTTTTTTTCAAATCCATTAATTCTTCCTATAATGATATAAAAATAAATCATGTTTTGCAAATTTTTCTTTTTTTTTTTTTTGATCTAAATTTTTTTGTCGTTGATTTTCCTGAATATTTAGTTTATTCTAAATTATTTTATTATTATATAAATATGCTATTTATAGAACTAGATCTCCCATGAATTATTATAACAAATTAATAATATATTAATAATAAAATT